GGCGGCACATCCAGGTGAGCACGGGGTTCAATCCCGGCGGGTGCGTTGGCTCCCGTATAAGTTTTGCCGGCAGTACCTCCAAAGAATAGGACCAGTCAGCGGCCGTCCCAATACAGGTAGCCGCTTTCACGCAATTTTGGTGTGAGGGAGGGCTCTAGCTCCGCTGGTGGCGCCGCTCCAGCACAGTGTGTGGTGCCATAGCCATCAATCGAGCTCATGGTGTCCACAATTTTTGGTCCATCAATATTACACTCGGGGAGGAGGGGGAGGGCGACTCCGACTCGCAGCACGAGCCGCACTCAGACCCGTCCCCGATGGACGACCCGATGGACGAGACGGACGAGGACTCGGTGCGGGCGGAGCACGAGCCGGCGGAGCTCGCCTCCCTGCCGCCGAGGCCGGAGCACGTCGGCCGCCGCTCGTACGACTCGGTCGCCTCCTCGTACTCTGGCCTCGGCGGCGGCGGAGGCGCCAGTGGCGAGTACTACGCCGAGGCGTCGGCCGACGAGGGCGAGACCTCCGGCGGCGAGGCCTGACCTCCCTCCGGCGGTGGCCTCGCCTGCTTGGGTCGCCAGGGCGATATAGCCGGGGCTTACATGTGAGCGACTGGCCTTTCATCACGCGGCACCCTCCCACACCGCACACCGCTGCCCAGGGCACGCGTGTGGTTGGTCGCGCGCGCGGCAGCCTGCTCTGCGCTTCTCTCCGTCGCGCCCGGGTTCGACGGCCTCTCCTCAGACCCACTTCGCACTTGTGCTTGATCGAGTCAGTGTTTCTACTGTCTGAGCGATGAACCATGAATGATCTTCTCATGAGCTTCGTACAGATTACACACGGAATTTTATAATAATTAATATTTTAAACAGAAAACAGCACTCGAGCACAGGGTCAGGGAGATCAGGGTGTGTCACAGCAATTGTGTCCGAACGTGTGTGTGCAACGGGTCGGAGCGGCGTCCGGCGAGAGCGCGAGACGCAGACGCCAGACCCAGACGCGGTGAGTGCACGGCCCTGCACGCACACAGCCAGGTGCCCGCATCCTAGTCTGACTGAATAGAGTGAAGACTCACAACAGACAGCACACTCTGGCACACCCACACTGTGCACCCAGGCCAAAGGCGAGCGCGCGGGGCGAACGCGACCAGTCGCCACATGCAGACCTAAACGTACTCGCACGCGCACCACTTACGTCACTTCAGTATGGAGTATGATCACTACTCTGTCGCCAAACCCTAGGCCAAACCCCGGAGCTCCTCACTCAGTGCAGCTTGGCGAGCGCACGTACAAGCTGGAGCAGCTCGCCCTCCGATTCTGGCCCCGCGAGGGCGAGCTCCTCCACGCGCGTCGCAATCTTGCTCAGCGACGAGAGCGCCACCTCGAGAGGGTCCTCGATGTGCTCCTCCCCGGCGTCGTCGCCAGGCCGCAGCGCCAAGGTCGTCACTCCGCCCTCCCCGCCCTCCCACTCGGAGCCCTCCTCCTCGTCAAACGGGGTTGGGTCCGACTCGCCTCCAAACGGGTTGGAGGCGGCGCTGCCGCAGCTCTCCTCGTCGCCAAACGGGTTGGAGCGCTGCTGCGGCGGTGTCCTTGCGCTCGCTCCGCCGAAGAGCGCGTCCACCGACGAGAGAGCCTCGGTGCTGGGCTGGCTGGGAGGCAGGCTGGGTGCCCAAGGGTCGGAGGCGCATCTCCTCTGCGGAGTTGAGCCCCCCAGCACGGAATCCAGAAGCCCATCGATGGCCGACGTCGGTGTCTGCGGCTCCTTGCTCTTCCTGCTGCCTCCGATCCTGGCCAGCAAGGCCTCCGCGTCTCGCTGTTGCGAAGCGCCCGGTCCGGATCGCAGCACGAGCTCCGCTGACGTTGCCGCGTCCGCGAAGCGGTTCATATCGTACTGAAGGTTCGCCAGTAGAAGGATCGTTGCCGGCGCGCGCTGCTCCTTGATTGCCGCCTGCAGCAGTCCTCGCGCTGTTTCTTTGTGGTTGACGGCCTTTGTCTTGAGGGCTCGCTCCGCCTTCTTCACCAGCTCGTCGTGGCGCTTCGCAGCTGCTGCGGCCTGCTTCTTGCCCTCCTTGGTGGTAAGTTGGCTGCGCGACATTGTGCGCGGGTGCGCTTCTCAAGGCAAAGGGCTGGGGCTGGAGCCGGGCTTGGTCCGCTCAAAGCCTTGGCGCACGCCGCCACGGTGTTTTCTTTTTCGGTATTCTCGTAAGGCCTCGCGAAGTCCCGTGCCTAGTGTGGTGCGCTGTATTTTTCTTCTTTCTTTTGCGCCGAGGGGTGGCCCGTCGACCGTAGACGGGCTGCTGCCACCCCTCAGGCCTCAGCCCTCACGCCTCAGGTTTTGAGAGAGAGAGAGAGATTTTCAGCAATCAATACCAAACAACTCTAACACTCACACGTCATTTGGGGCCTGGAGCCCTGTTCACGCGCGCGCGAGACGTGCAGACAGGGTTGCCAGGTGAGAGCGAATGGCGCGGTTCACGCCTCGCACAACAGAGAGAGAGATGCGCTCTGCATGGTGGGACATAAAACGGATAAAACAGAGCGAGTACTTGGGCGAGTAGGCCGTGCGGTCAACGCTGCCGCGCGCGACTTTGCGCGCGAGGCGGCGCAGCTTGAGAACGGCGGTGGGCGAGAAGCCGCCGCCGAACGTCTCGTGGAGCAGCAGGTTGAAGTTGTTGCGCTTGACAAAGATCGCGTCGTGGTAGAAACCGCGATGCACCTTGACGTAGCCGTGGCCGGTCTTGTGGGAGAAGGGTTGGCCGGGCTGCCCGCGCGCCTTGCAGCCCATGTTTAGGCGGCGGGCCTTGGTCTCTTCGGTGTTGCCAAAGGCGTAGGAGTGGCCAACGGAGGTTTTGCGCTGGAAAGAATTTTACAACTAACAAAAACTCCCTCGCACAACACTAGATCGAGGAGTGATCTAGCACGGGACTGGCGGACTGGCGCGCACTGGCGCACTGACACAGGTACACAGGAAAAGAATTCCCAGTAGACCAATTGGTTTTTCCCTTCCTGTTCTCTGCCGGCCCAAACGCCCCACACGAACTCTCTCGGTCTCCGCGCACATGAACACTCCTTCCTCGTCCTTCCGAGCTCCTGCTCGTGAAAGTGATGTGGGGACCCTGTCGGTCAGCCGCTGGCGGCTGTGTGTCCTAAATAAAGACAAAAAAGTCGGTCTTTGACACCTCTCTTCTCTAGGGTTCATGTCAAACGTTAATTTGGGGCCTAACAGTTGCACTATTGTTGGCTGAAATCCTCAACGTTGTTCAAGTGTTCTCCCCAGCCCAAGCTGTTACTGTTTGTTACTATTGTTACTGTTGTTCAGCGGCCAGCAAGCAGAAAATGCCAAAAAACCCGGGTAAAACCCGAAAAAATACCTGGGGTTTCCCGGGTATTTTCGGGTATTACCCGCACTGGATGCTGGAGATCGTCGTGGGTCACTGCCAGGCCTTCCTTATTGTTGTTCAGCCGGCCTAACGTTAGCTACTGTTGTTGGGGAGCCCCACTGTTGTTACACTGTTCAGCTCTTAACGTTTGACAACCCTACTCTTCTCCCACACCCCACGGCCCAATGCCACGGCCTCGTAGCTCGTTGGCGTGTTCGATTTTTACCCTCGTCAAACTTCCACTCGAACGCTACCCGGTCTCCTTCCTCCGGGACCCCGCCCTCCACCCCGTTGACCGCGGTGCGGTGGCAGGATGCCTTGGCGCGCGGCGCTCCGCCTTCTGCCTCTCCGCCGCCCGCTCGGCGCGTGCGGCGATGCGTGCGCCACGTGAGCCCGCAGCCCTGCTCTCTCCTACCACGAAGTCGCCCATGCACCTCAGGCCTCAGGCGCCCGCCCGCCCGGCCGGAGCACGGGAGAAGCCCCCACGCGTCGCCGCGCAAGGCCGCTCGAATTGGCCGCCTTCCGTCCCCCTCAATGCTTGCCGCTCGCCCCCCCCCCCCGCCCCCCCTCGTGCCTCGAGTGCACTCCCTTTTTCATTATTACACGGGATAAAAGAAAATTCACACGGCCGAGCTACCCCGCCAGCCGCCTACCCGCACACAGGGCCCCGCCCGCCGGCGCACAGAGCGCGCTTGACGCTTGTGAGAGAGAGAGCACTTGTCAGTCTCAGTGTCAACTTGAGGGGGGAGGAGACGGAGGAGGAAGGAGACGGAGCGGGAGGTGGCGACGGAGGAGGAGGCTAGGCTCTAGCGTTCGATAGCACGCTCGTTTGTACTTGTGTGTATTAGGCGCCGGCCGCCGGCCACAGTGTGTCCGCGCGGTTACACGTCACACGCTCCACACCGCAAAAGGCTCGTTCTCGCTCATCGAGCTCCGCCTCTGCCCCCCCTTCGCAACGCCCACGCCGGGAACTGGCTGCCCCCCCCGCTGCGGCTGCAGGTGAAGTTTGCGGGCTCGCCGAGCAGGTAGCCCCAGACGAGCTCGAGCAGGTGCCCGGACGGCTTGCAGACGGCGGGCGTCGCCTCGTCGAGCAGGTCGGCCAGCAGGCGCCGCCTACAGCGTCCGCGCCACCGCGTGACACCTTGGCCGTGAGGTGCGGGTCGAAGGTGCGAGCCCCTAGGGGAAGGCGCGCCAGAAGGAGTGTGGCCGCGCGCGGATCCGGTCGGCCGAGACGAGGAACTGC